CTATGATACTATGATGTTTATAAATATGAATTATTATAATTATTACTATACTGTAATTATTATAATTATGTTTATAAATATGAATTATTATAATTATCATAATTATTTTGTTTATAAATATGAATTATAAATGTTTATATGAATTATAATAGCATGTATAGACAAAGAATTATGATGAATTATAATGGTGAAAAATGATTACATATGACAGCACAAGATATATAAAGAAGGTCGTCATCTTAATATAGAAATATAGAATAGCATACAATAGCATACACATTCCAAATTTGGTAATATGCTACGTCGGTATCAAAGTATGTTTACCCCGCTTATTACAACAATTACAGTATTAAAAAAAGATTTCGGTAACTATCCGGCCCTTAAACTATAGTACATACTCTATAGTACATACTATAGTACATAGTACATAGTACATATGCATAATCATTATACCTTTTTTCGGGTCTGCAAATCAAACTCGTTCAAGATATGTATGCTATTTTTTCTCCTTGAATTTCTGATCGAAAAAAATAGAAAAAAATAATAAATATCTTTTGTATGTACGTCCCTGCAGTCGGTGTCAATGCAATATACCGAGATACGGGATACAATAAATGCACAGGTACGTACATACGTTTATATGTTTATGTGTTTATGTATCTAATGGATAATACATCAAGATGAGATTGACTTTTTGATATTTTTTTTCACTCTGTTTTGCAGCAAAAAAAGTGCGTCCGGCGTATTATAAAAAAGTTATCAGATTAATTCTGTAATTTCGAATGTAGAGAATAGGGCGTTGTTTTTGTTTGGCTAATTCTGGTCACATATATTTGGTCTAGTGCCGGTAGATTTAACGGTATGGCTCAAAATGTACTAATTGAAACATGCTGTACCAGTAACCCAAAGAGATGTCATTTTTTTTGGCTTGATTATCCATTTAAATCTTTTTTTGTGTTTACATTTAATCTACCCGATTTTTGTTTTTTTTTTGGCAAACTTGTATATTCGGATATTTTGATGTGATTATACAAAGTACTACTATGTTATTACTCAATGTTATTACAGTGCTATTACAGTGCTATTACAGTGCTATTACAGTGCTATTACAGTGCTATTACAGTGCTATTACAGTGCTATTACAGTGTTATTACTGTATTATCACAAACTGTGATGCAACACTTTTTTTTCGTATAGTATATGACAATCAGACAAAGTACTTTCACTGGCCAAAGGTCATCTTCTAGTAAACAAAACACTACCGTCCAAAAGTTGTATTATTGTGTAATTTATTCCCGCGCCAATCGAATGCATTGATATAATAAGGGTTATAGACCTCACTCATTTTGTATAATCCGTAATTACAGTAATTACAGTATCAGAGCCTACTCGGTATTAATTCTTTCCTTGGTTTGCAATTCTTAGTATTTATATTTATTCCCTTCTACTAATAGTTTAAGAATTCATGTTTGTTTTTTTTAGCATTTATATCATTTATATCATTTATATCATTTATATCATTTATATCATTTATATCATCTATATCATTTATATCATTTATATCATTTATCTCATTTTCTCATTTAATACTATTTCTTAGTTATTTATATATAGTTCCCTTGATTTTTCAATCTTTTCTTTTTTTGTCATTCATTGTCATGCACCTTTAAAAAAAAAACAAAAAAAAAAATTTTATCGAAAAATTTTTTTTCATGTAATTTAATATGCAATTTAACAAATAAAGTAATTTTAAAATTCCAAAAGACTGATTTGCTAGAAAATAATTTATGTTAAAAAATAAAAAAATAAAGTCGGTTAAGCTACATTACTCAGCATGATATAATAAATTCAATTCTGAATTTACTCAAATTGCATAATCTAATATATAGTTAAATATATTTGCATAAAACTTTTTTCTATCACTTAATCATATTTCGAAATTTGGCTGTCAACTTTTGTTTGAAAACGATAAGATTTAATACAAATTATTCATATCATTCATTCAAATCATTCATTGTCAAAAATATAAAATATATAAAAAAAAAAAAAAAACTCGCGCACGGCTGCTGAAACAATGGCAAATTACAGGTAAAATCGGTAAAATCGACATTCTTTTCATTATACCATTTTAAACATTGATTATTGTTTTTAAAAATTTTTTTTTTTTGTGTTACCTTTTTTTTTTGATCTTGTGTGATTCCTTTTTTTCCGCTCCAAACACAAAGTGCAGCCCGTATCGTACTACCATCGATACTAAGCGGTCACAACATGCAGTACAAAGGTGCAGGAGGTCATTTGATGAAAATGAAGAAATTGCGCTATTGGTACTTCCAATGAGTGTTGCTTGTGATCATTTAAAAATGAATACAATAAATAAAAAAAAATATATATCACTATTGCATGATTCGATTTTTGACATTTAGGGCGATCTAAAATACTAAGTAAAAAATGGAAAGTTAATTTTATTTTTATTTTTTATTTTTTATTTATTTTTATTTTTATTTTTACACACAAATCATTAAAAACAATGAGTTTTTTTAATATTGTCACTATTTATCATATATAACACATATCACTGTTATTGTACATCACTTTTAGTGATATGATACGATCTGTCTATCTTCTATTGTTTTTTCTGGATCTCATGCAACTAATTAAGGTAAAAAGGCTCGTTTTTTTTTCATGCGATATTAGATGTTCGATATGTATCGCATATATGCAGACACATACGTTTTCCAAATTTTCTTGAAATGTATGCTATGCTGCCTGAGTCTTAAATAAGAGAATCCCAATGATAACGTTTCTATTTTCTTGTATCTCGTTGGATTTCACAACAAATCAAAAGCCTATCAAGTGACTAAAACTGTTTCACAGAGCCTGAGACACGTTCTCATAAAAAAAATATTTGATATACTTGATATGAAAAGAGAATTGATTTGAACGAAAATATAAGTGGGCTGGGTACTCACGTAAGGCGGGGGGGGGAATAGACTGATAGAATAAATAATTTTACTTTTTATGGCTGAATGCAGAATAAAGAACCAATTGAATATTTGGTTATCAGTGTTGACTTCCTATGTTGGTTAATTCGTTTTTTTTTTTTCTCTTTACATGTTTCCATTTTCTTGATTTATTCTTGTTTTTCACACATATAAGGATTATTATGGTATCAAGTCTAAAGAGAACAAAAATATATATTATCAACAAAATGACTATATTTATATTAAACGTTCTGGTATGTTTGTTGTTTAATACTGTATTAAAGTTATCAGGAAATTTTCTGGTTAACTTTCACCATTCCTTCCATTGTTCATGATCATTATTACAGTATACAGTATTACAGTACTGTATTATTATCTGTTACTTCCATACCCATATCATATTCTTTTTCTTTTCGATCTTAGCACAAAAAATCAAATATTGTTAAATATTGTGTCAACAAATGATTTTTGGTGATTGTTTTGCATTCAAGGAGGTTTTGTATTCATGAAACTATTTAGGATCGAAAATAAACAACTTAACAATGAGAATAATTAATAATATCTGAATTTGAGATTCCACAATATTTTCTAACATATATTTATTAATAATAGTTTATTTTTGTAAAAAAAAAATTATGTGATTATATGAATTTTTTTTTTTTGGTGATTATACGCATTTAGTTGATCACTCGATTGACAGCTTAACTTTATATAGCGCATTTTGACACTTGTGTTACGTGGTGACAAAGGAGCTACCCAAACGCAGTCATCATATCCGGGGATAAGATATGACGTTACACTACTGTTCTTACGTATAGGATGCTCTTGTTAAAGGAAAGTCTCAAAAGAAAAAAAATCACTTGTTTAGACTCCTCAATGCATCGGTTGGTCTATTATGGAAAGTTCACGATAAGACGGTTCGCTAAGCATTCTAATTGTATTACTATGTTAGGAAGATATTGCATAATATTAAAGAATAAAAAACAATGTCGTGTATACGATCATAGCTCTATTTTTAAAAAGTCAGTCAAAAAATAAAAAATATAAAAAAATATAAAAAAAAAAACTAACATCTAAGCGGTCGACTTAATGCTGTAACCTTTCTCATATATATGTGTAATACAACATGATCTTAAAAATAATTGACGAATAAACAGAATGAAGTTTCCCCGCCATTCAATACAATCTGTTTCAACTATCGCTTTCTTGAGACATTTGGCTTCTTTCATCCCCTTCAGTTCCATTAGCTGTTATTCTCTGTGTATTACCATAAATCCCAAAAAAGTTTTTATATTCACGAATAATACAAATAATACAAATAATATAAAATAATATAAAATAATACAAAACAATACAAAATAATAAAAATAATAAAAATAATAAAAATAATAAAAATAATAGAAATAATAGAAATAATGTAATCAAAAAGTTTCTTAATTTTGTAATTTTGTCACGCTTTCTCCCGTTTTACATCTGCGAGATGATTTGAAAGTTTCTATTAACGGACTATTAATTATCCTTTTTTTTATACCCCGCCTTTCAATGTTTCCTGTTATAAAATCACAATTTTTTTATTTTTATTTTATTTTTTTTATAGGTGGTATATGCGCAAATGTCAATCACACGCATATATATAAAAAAATAAACGGATTTTATTCTACTTTTCTTTGTATAATCACATTTATATAAACGTATATATAAACGGTTAGTCAAAAATACTATAAACAAATATAACTCAATAATAAAGAAAACATCCCAAAAAAAAAAAAAAATCCGTCACACAAACCTGTTATGTATGCTGTACACATATAAAAACAACCCCCCTCCCTCAGAAGCCGGAGTAAGGAACCTCAAATCGTTTATTTCCTGGATGAAAAATTTAAACATAAAAATTTCTTTTTTGTTCAAATAAATTATTTTCATCCTCGCTTTTTCCATCAAGTCGCGTCAATAATATTTTTCTCTTGTTCCTGTCAAAAGTAAATAATTGACAATTATTTTTTATTAACGATAGTAATTATGAGTATCGAACCAACATTTCATGGTTATATCGAAACGACACAGGACACACTTCTTATATTTGAAGCATGTAGAAAAGGTTGCCTTACAAAGATATGTCGAAGACTTCAAGAGAAAGAACGCAAGATCATAACGTCAGGAAGTGTGTTTGTATTTGACGAACGCGAATCCGGAATAAAACGTTGGACTGATGGTTTAGTATGGAGCCCATCAAGAATTCTTGGAAATTTTCTTATTTATCGAGAATTGGATAAACGTCCTCCTACTGGTAAAAAAGATTCTTCTCCAGTAGAACGTCAAAGAAGTGATAGTGTTGATATGGAATCACAATCTGAAAAAAATAAAGAACGCGCATTAGTTGGCAGTTTAACAAATACTTATCGTTTTAAAAAAGGTGGTTTAATTAAAAAAACAATGTCAATCATGGTTAACGGTGTTAGCCAACATATGATTAGTTATTATACAAAAGAAGATGTATTGGCTGGTAAGCTCAAGACTCCATCTTCAATGCCAAACTTAGCCATTCTCGAAATTTCTCCAGAATTCTTGTTAAAGCAAAATTTTAGAATACCTCCTGTTGTTGAGTCAAATTATGAACAAGGTAAATTTTTTAATAATAATAATATTTTTTTTAATAATATTTTTTTTTTTAATAATAATATTTTTATTAATAATTTTTAATAATATTTTTTTTAATAATAATTTTATTAATTATTTATAAAATTTCATAAAATTTGGTGATCAAAAAATTATATTATCCATTAGAATTAGATGGTATGACATATGGAAAACAATCTTCTGCTTCACCACATGCTATTCTCCCAAAACCAGGTGATGGTACCGTGAGTCCCGCAAGACTATCAAATATGGATTTTTCTCCTTCTCGTATAAAGATGGAAATGGAAGCATCCAATTCTTGTATTCCTTCGCATTATTCTAATTACTCATCAACGATGCATCCAGTATCTCATTTTGCTCCATATGCTTCACAAGGTCATGTTCCTAATGAATCTGATGGGTCACATACTCTTTCAATGCCGCCAATGCGTGCATTAATGAATCGTCAATCGTCTTTTCATGAGTTTCCTCCTCTTACTTCTCATGTTAATAATATAACACCGTCACGGTTATTAACATCGCACCAACAACCGTTAATTCCTAGTATTGGTTCTCACCAAAATGATTATAATTATCATACACCGCAAAATAACACAAACACTCAAAATTGGTCTGGTTATCAATATCCACCATATTCATCAAATGCTCCGCACGCTCTTCATCCATCTATTAGTCATCAAGCACAATCGAATAATCCTCATGCGGAAACGAGTAACGATATGTTTTATGCTAATACTACCACTGCTGGTAACAATTCTACCAATAGTACAATTAATACGCTTAGTAATCAAGTACCTTTATATACTACTGGTAATCCATATCACGATTTATCATCCACAACATTCCCCGATATATATAATCCGGTCCATTCATCTACCACCAATTCTATATCGCACTCACATTTACATCAACACGAGTATCAAGTAACATCCCCATCTCCGACACTTCCTTCCATTTCTTCTCCCGCAAGCACTACTAGTACTTATAGTTCAAATGCTCCTGTAACACCTCCACTTAATTCACCCGTAAATTCTGGGTTCAATTCCAATTATTATCCATCATTGATAAAGAATGAAGGATTTCAACCTGTTCATATGTTGTACAATTTTGACTAGGGACGATTATGGCGAAGGTTAGGAGATAAAAAAAAAAAGTAATAATAATAAATAACTAAAAAAAAAAAAAAGAAAAATAAAAAAAAAAATAAAAAAAAAACCAAAAAAAAAAAACCAAAAAAAAACTTTTTTTTTTTTTGCGGGATTTTGGTGACTTGGGTGATTTTGGTAATAAATAATCCAAAAAGAAATGGAATAATATTAAAAAAAAAAAATTTTTTTTTTCAAAAAAACACATTAAGATGGTCTGCGGGCATTATGTTTTTCTTATGTAGTATATACGATAATATTTTTATATTGTAAAGACGGAAAATTATTTTATATACCTAGTTTTGAATTCCTTCTAAAAAAAAAAAAAAAAAAAAACTTTTTTTAATATAAAATTCTTTTTTATTTCTTTGTTTTAAAAAAATTCATTGTAATATTTGTATAGCTTTTCGTTTGTAAAGTTTTTTATCTTTTTTTTCTTATTAATTCGTTCCGCGATTCGCTAAATTATTTTCGAACTTTCGATGTTTCAAAAAAAAAAAAAAAATTTTTTTTATCTTTTATTTTATATATATGTTTTATTAATATGGAAAGAAAATATTTGTCAATTTCGTTCCACAAACACAAGAAAAATCAAAGGTTCGTATTTATTAACTTTGACTTTCTGAATTCTGTGTGTGTGTTCTTACGTTTAGACAAATTTAATCTCACGTGATTAGTTTTTCATGTGATTTGGGAATTTTTTTTTATTCGGGTTTCTTTTTTGCGTGGTAGTTTTGATTTATGAAAAAAATTAAAAATTTTTTTTTCTTTTTTGTTTGTAAATTTGGTTTTTGATATCCAACACCTATTGGATATAAAAATTTATATATATACATATTAAAAATATATTTTTCCTAAAAAAATATTTTCCATATCGTGGTCATGATTATTTAATTGTTAGTGAATCAACGTGAGACATAGCAAATAGTGAGTAAATATCAGATATGTCAAACCTTAACCATTGGTTTATTTGATCAGATATTTTAAAAAAAACCTTCAAAGAACATTCTTACATGACTAAAAAGTCAAAAACACTAAATTATTTCATTGAAAGATATTATTGTAAATGCGTATAATTATAACTTATGCGTGTATAATTATAACTTTATTCTGGGAACACTAAATTTGTTATTGTTTGCAAGTCCTTCACGGTTGATTGGCGCTCCTTAACTTTACTTTTAATAACTTTTAATGTATTATTTTCCTTAAAAAGATGATATCTAGGAAAAAGTAAGTAAAAAATAAAATAACTCAATTAGGAAACGAATTCTACCAACATAAATAAATAAATAAATAAATACGTAAAACCTAAATAAAAATAAATCTTGACATATTTATTGCTGCATATAGATAGATACAATGCGCTCCGCAGAACTAAATAAAATTTGAAAATCAAAATATCATGTTAAATATTTGTTAATCTTAAATTTACACCTTCAAATACTTATTGAGTCAATATGTTAAGAAAATTTATACTTGATACTATACTGCAGTACTGTATCAAGGAATTATACTACAATATATACTGTATATACTGTATATACTGTATATACTGTATATACTGTATGTTTGGAAGTGAACTAACACGCGTATTTTTGTGAGAATTTAAATAATTTATGCATTTATCATTTACTAAGACTGTCTTTGCTTGATTTTAGAATTTATGCGAACTGTTAATCGCATCATTATGTAAATATTTGCTATCAAAACATGAGCGTAACGAAGGATCTGATATTTGTGCATGTGATTTTGATTCTCAATTCTTATTGGATGTTAAACATGATATCGCATTATTTTCAAAGTTTATTAATAAGCAAACCATAAATTTACTGCCATCATGTTTATTTATAATATTACTTAAGAAACGGCGCATTAATGACAGGTGCAATTTATGGAATATATATATACATTAATTTTTGGGACTAAACCAGCTGCGAAAACGGCATACACATATCTATCAACGATGGTTTCGTCTAAGGGATATTTCATTAACGAAATTTGAATTCAGAGAATACTTGTCCTTCTGCATTCATAAGCACAACTACTGTCTTCAGCGAAAAGAATGAGTTCAGATTTCTTTGAAATAAAATTTCTTTGTTGGAACGTCACGTGTAAAAACGCATTATAAAATTTATAGAGTAGGAAATACGTAATAAAAAAGATTTACTTAGTAATTACTGGATTATTATTCTTTATTCAAATGCCATTCTTTTAGACTTTCGCATCGATAATACCACGCCTAGATTATCACGTCAAAATTACCTTATAAGTCTCATAAGCGCTTCATCTAAATATGGATAAACGCATATCATGATACTAACTATAATAGGACAAGTTCGAATCCAACATGGCATCGCCTGACCCTACCCTTAGTTGTAACGATAGTACAAAAAAAATAATAATTTTCAAAGAGTTACTCTTTCATTTAACAAAATTTACAAAATTTTCAATTTTTTAAATAGCATTTATTTAGTATTTTTGCTTAACGTTAATGTGCATTCGTTCGATTCTTCCACGAATTAAACAAGTTTTTCATAAAATGCTCATTTTGAGAATAAAGCATATTGGCATTGGAAATTTTTACTAAATTCGCTGTTCGCCGAATAAATAACTAAAAACGATCCTAATGCTACCATTAAGGAAGTAAGCATTATCGTTTATATGAATATAATTTATTTGGTTTGAAATAAGATAACTTCATTGTAAAATGGTCTCAGTAAATAATTCTACGCCTAAAGGCTGCAACATGCTTTTGTCATGTCGTATTAAGAATTTGAAATTATCTATGAACTGTATATTAATTAACAATTAATAATTTATCTCTCTGTCATACCAAAAAAAAAAAAGCAAAAAAAAAAACATCTAATTTTTCTAGAAAAAAAAGATGGAAATAAATACACATTCGTTCATACATGCGTTACTGTTTCTTTTAAAATTGACAAAACTTGTCTTTGATTGCATATAGTGTTGGTAGTACACGCTAAACACCGACCGAGAGGTTTCATTTCTATACAGTACGCACATTAACATTGCATTGCAAAATTTCATTTCGATGTGGCAAACCAAAAAAAAAAAGTATAAATTAGATAATCTGAATTATAAATTCAATCTACACGCGGTAATACTATAATAAAATAACAATAGATATTTTTGGTTAGAGTGCCTTCCATTTTTAGCATTCATTTATACGTAGGTACTTACTTGCGTGAAAGTTTTTGTTTTATTTACGTAGGCTTATCGGTTAACAGTAAATCAAAAAATTTCTTTGTTGAAAATTCGGTATAAAAAAAAAAAAAAGAGAATGAATTAAATCAAACAGGGAAATTTGAAATTTTTATATTTGCATATTTCAGCTTCAGTTAATCGTTACATAGTTAAATTTTGTGCCAAGTGTGCAAAAAATCAATCCAGAATTTTCAAATAACTTTGAATTAGTCGAACTTGGAGTTTGTGTTTGAACACAACATATTCTAATCCAGCCATGCTCCATGATCATGTGAAATTTCACAGCTATTACATAAAATAAGATTAATAAGATTATTACGTTTGGGTTATAGCAATTAAATACGCTCAAATTAGGAAATCGGGTTTCCTGAATTTTAATCAAACAGACTCATCGTTACGATTTGGGTTAATCACTACGTTGGCACGTTTAATGAAATTGCCAACAATTCATCTAAATAATCAAATCACTGAAATATTGGCGATAACAGATTTGCTTTTCAATTATATATAATATATATAAAAAAATTATTTATATTTAATTTTTTACATTATTAATTATAATGCTCTATAAACGGTCTTATTGTAAATAGGTGTGTGATAATAACACTTACTGAACACTCGTCATGTAACGCTAAAGATTAAATCTTTTATTTCTATGGTTTCATGTGATTGTAGCTGAATTAGCGTAATTAATAATTAGTCTGTTGACACAGTATCTTCACATATCGATCTGCGGATTGACGTAACGTACTGAATTGGCGTTATCGAATTATCATCTTCTATGAAGAGAGTTCAATTATCATTATATTTTTTAAATTCTTGTTGCAAGTTACAAACATTAATTTTTAGCCCCTGAATTTTTGCTTATCGTACAATGTATAATTTTATATAGAAAGAAATATAGTAGTCTATTCTATCTGAAAATAAGATTTTAGCTTAATACTGTATTATGCTAATACAACTATACTAGATTGTTTACAGCACTCAATATTCATTAACTTGAATTTTAATAATATTCTAATAGTCAAGATGCTTGTTGTATTAACAAACAAGCAAAAAAGATATATAATTAATTATTTATATTTGTTTAAAAGATTCTTATTATATAAAAAAAAATAAAATTAAAAAAATTAAAATTGCTTTTTATATAATAATATTTATTATTAAAAAGTTTATAATCTAAAAAAAAATTATTTACTAAAATAGAATATTGGTTTTAAAATAAATTTAATAAAGATATAATAACATAATATATATATATATATTGTTATTAAGGTTTTTTGTAAATTAAACTATTGATATTTATATATATATTAGATTACAATAATTTATTGCATATTAATAATTATAGTAAAAGTATATCTAGCCATATATACAACTATTTAAGTGGTTTGTTTGAAAGTTTTATACTAGCTGATATATTTATAATCTGCTTAAAAATTATTTATTTAAAAATTATATAATTTAGCACATCTGTGCTATAATGCATCTAACCAATTAGATTATAAAATCAGATATAATATAAAATTAAAAAAATAGTAATATTTTTAAAAAATTGCTTGTTGCTCAAAATTTTGTTTATAAAACTACTTTTTGTATTCTAACAAAAAATTTTTTACAAATTTTGAATTAGAACTTTTTTGCTAAATATTTTGTTTTAACTTTAATTTTTATTATTAGAAAATTTTTTTAGTGTAATTTGCAAAAATTTAAATAATAAATTTAAATAAATATTTGTACAAAAC